TGGCAGTTATTCGTTGTGAATCAACCACTTGGTGTTCTGGCCTTTACACATATATGTATGTATATGTTACCGGCCAAACCTGATGTTAGTGCTTAGGAACTTTGAATTTAATAAACTTTTGTTGTAGTGTGAACTACATATATTTTTATTAAAAATTAATAAAATTTAAATTAAACAACATATTAAAAGGGGGGGGGGGAAACAATTTACTGTACGATTTTCACAGACGCTCACTGTATGTACATAGTTTGCGTCTGAAAGGTGTTAATTGCTTAATCTTAAATAGTTTATGCGAGAAGTGTTCGATTACAAGCAATGTATTAAAAGTTGGGCGTGTTAAATACATTAATACAGCAATTTTNTGTACATAGTTTGCGTCTGAAAGGTGTTAATTGCTTAATCTTAAATAGTTTATGCGAGAAGTGTTCGATTACAAGCAATGTATTAAAAGTTGGGCGTGTTAAATACATTAATACAGCAATTTTTTCCAGCGAAATTTTTTTTATATTTTTTTTTTTTATAAAAATACCGTCCAAGCTTTAACCAAAACCATAAAAGTTTTATCAATATTTCAACTTTTTAATCTGTGCAAATTTAAAACGGCTAAACAATCCGGTAGATTTTTGAGATTTTTTTTTAAAGGCTGCTTTTGCGGTTTTTTACTATACAAGTGTAATTTACAAAAACTGGCGTTGATTTTTTGAAATTTTGTTGCTAACGGTCTCCCGCATTTTATTTCATAAGAAAATCATGCTGATATAAAAAAAAGTGCAAATATCCGTCATCAAAGGAATTTTCAAAACTCAATGGGATTTTTTAGCCGTTTGAAACTTGCATTTCATGAGACTAAAAATGTATGGGCTATAAAGGTTGAGATTAAAAAATTGAAATTGAATTGACGAAAATTTGTTGGATTTTCCTACACTTTGTATAAAGATTGGAATTGTGATTTATATCGTTTTAGTTAAAGCTTGGTAAAGCTAAAGGTATTTTTATAGAAAAACAACAAGAATATTTAGCTCGGAAATAATTACGAATACATACAAAAAATCAATATGTGGTGATTTCTTTGAGTCACTGTATGTATGTATGTTTCTAAAATTGAATATCTTTGTTTAAGATACCTGCCACAATTAAACTAGACTAGCTTCAAATTTGCTTTTCAAAGATTGATTCGGAAATCCTTTTTATAGTTTGAGCATTTTTTAAAAGATCTATTTTCGTGCTTTCTTATAATCGCATGCAGCAACAACATCTAATATCCTATATTTAATACTAAAAATCCAAAGCACTTACAAATGCTCTCGAACGGATGACTAGTCATACGAATAGAATGCTTATCGATTATGTATTTGGCTTTTCAAAGACATGATCTTAGATAGAAAAAAGATTCAGAAATTGGTTTGGTTGGTGGTGCGGCAACCCTGGATCTCATAAATGGTTTATAATCATGGTACAATAAAAACAGGTAGAAGCCAAATTGACATCGAACCTACAAAAGTCAAAGTTTTCGGGAGAGTAAAAATAAAAATGAGCGTGTGTAAGGAAAAATAAAAAATTACATTTCGCTGGTTGACGTTTTTGAGTAAATTTGAAGTTTTGTTTCTATTTATTTATTTTTTTAGTTAAAATTTGTTAATTTGTATGTTGTTTTATGTTTTTAATTTATGAGTTGCAGTGTTGTTGGAGGGACTTTCCGGCATAAGGGTCATAGGAACAGCACTTGGCATCAAACGTGCCTTTCCTGTACCTCCCGGTGCTTTATGAAATCTGCTGCTTTAAAATGTTTAATGCACAGCAAGGCATTTCGCTGCAGCTCTGGCCCACAGCTGCTTTCGCAACGCTCTTTACGCGAAGGACATTGAGGCACGTTAAATGGTATCTGCTTTATATTTAACACCACATAAAAAACAACGCTTCGGTGTTGCATTTTTAACACATACATTAAGTATAAACTGCACAACACTACAAAAATTCAAATGTTAATTAAAATTTGTTATTAACGAACATTCAAAAAAAAAAAAAAAACCAACGATATGACATTCAAAGCGTAACGAAATATAGGAAATAAAAGAAAAACAAGTTGAAGTTTAAAGGTTTGGTTCTCATGAGAGCAACGTCATTTTGGCTTCTACCTGTATTCAAGGCACATAAATACAGGTAGAAGCCAAA